AGAGTTAAAAAAAACCTTGGTGATAGCAAAGAGTTAAAACAGCCGTCATGTTCCTCCTCCTACGTAACTCTGTTTAGCCTACATAAACAAAGCTGAAATATTCCACTCTTCTTCAGTCCCGTGATTGCACCGGAGGTCTCGCGCAGCTGTGCAGAGATGGACAAGAGTCGCGCGGACGCTTCCCAGCGATTCCCCGAAATTATTGAGCTCAATGTCGGGGGGCAAGTTTACGTTACGCGCCACTCAACTTTACTCTCCGTGCCCAATTCTTTACCTTGGACCATGTTCAGCCAGAAAAAACCCGCAGAACTTACCACCGACAGCAAAGGACGCTACTTTCTGGACAGGGACGGCTTTCTGTTCAGATATATTTTGGATTACTTGCGGGACCAGGCTCTGGTTTTGCCCGACTACTTCAAAGAGAAGGCGAGCCTTCTTAAAGAGGCAGAATATTTCCAACTTCAAGAGCTGGCAAAACGCCTGAGACCGGCGGTCAGTAAGGAGAACTCCATCAGCGAGGAGGTGTGCCAGAGCGACCCGGAGGAGGCTGCGCTCGCCGGCACGAGTATCACCAGCACCGGTCCTCGCTCCCCGTCTCTGGAGGCGAGGAAATTCGGCTACATAACCATCGGGTACAGGGGCTCCTATACCATAGGACGAGACATCCAACAGGACGCCAAATTTCGACGTGTGGCGAGAATTACCGTGTGCGGAAAAACATCTCTCGCCAAAGAAGTTTTCGGGGAGACTCTGAACGAGAGCAGAGACCCCGACAGACCCCCAGAGAGATACACTTCTCGGTATTACCTCAAGTATAATTTCCTGGAGCAAGCCTTTGACATGCTGGCGGAGGTGGGCTTCCACATGGTTGCGTGTAGTTCCACGGGCACCTGCGCCTACTCGAGTAACGACCCCAACGAGGACAAAATCTGGACGAGTTACACCGAGTACGTTTTTTGCAGGGAGTGAAGTGGACTCACTTTTGGGAACTGTTGTAACACATTTCTCGGACATTCACCTTTGCATTCGTTACGCACCGCGAATGTGTAGTTGTTCCCACACAATGTCAACACGTAAAGACTGTCGCTGGGCAGACGTTTTGTGCATATTTTGTGTTGTAAGTAATCATTTAATAATGGCTGATCTCCCAAATCTGTCGTCTGTTCCCAGAATTTAAACAACCGCGGATAGCAATTTTCAGTATTTAAACACTGTAGGTTTGGACTGGAGGAAGCACACAATGTAGGCCTACTCTCAATGATACTCTCAATGAAATCAAATCAATCTTTATACCACTTAAGTTCTTCATATTTTGTGATATTAAAAGTGAATTACATTCCTGCATTTACTAGTTTCCTTATATGAGATTGTTTTTTATTTTTATTTTTTTTATTGAGTACATCAAGAAGCTCAACAGACACAAAAGAGACAAAAATAAAATGTCATCCCAGTAGTAAAATTGCAACCTGTTCCATAATGAGTGAGTACCTATATGTATACTGTATATATATATATATATATATATATATATA